GCCAATTTTCAAAACCATAAGAAATAGTGAAACTATTCACATAATATTTGAAAGATATTTTAGTACAGAGGACATTGAGATAACAATATCAAAAGAAATTCAAAACCATGAAGCTCCGTTTGGTACATGGAATTCAAACTATGGAATTGGAATTGAAGACTTCAATTCCAATTCTAGTGTTTGGTAGTACAAAGATTATGTGGATTTAGAATTGATAATGTAAAAAATGAATGAGAATTGGTGAATTCAATTCTATGGCATTGAATCTCATGGAATTTCAATTCCAATTCAATTCCAATTCCATCAATTCCTTATACCAATTTCGAAACAATTAAGCACATTTATGAAAAGACTAGAGTTTATATATATACTAGTGTTTTAACCCGTGCCATGCACGGGTGGAACGAAATTTTAATTTTTTTTGCTACAACATTTTTAAAAAATTATATGTACCAAATAAAACATCAACATTAAAAGTTAGAATAATGATAAAATATATTTCCTCCATCTCACAAAACTTTTCTCATTTTGATTTTTAAATGATTTATTTTGATGTTGATCGTTCAAAAATGTCCTTCGATAAGATGTGTATAAGTAAGATGTGATGGTAGATTAATAGTGAAAAAATATGATGTGATAGACAGGTTAAGAATTGGTAAGGGTAAAAGTAAGTTTTTAATAGTAATGAGAAAGATTTTTTTGGGACGAAAGAAAAAAGAAAAGACAAAAGTTTTGTGGGACAGAGGAAATATAATATTTGGTAATGAAAATTATACTATATATATTTGAAAATTGACATGTCAGACTCTTATTTAAATTAGAACATTTTGAAAAATTAAGGTATATAACATTTTTGTGTGATGTTATAAAAGACTACCAAAAACATCTAAAACTAATACTTTCAACCCGACTTTTACTCTCAGTCACTAAATCATAATATTGGTGGAATTATTAAGAACATCAACCACTTTGTTGCAATCTATTTCCACAAAGATATGCATCCAATCTTTGCTCTTGATAAAGGTTCAAGCCTCATTTACATAAATTACATACACTTCTCTAGGTCTGAAACATCCTCTACCATTAAAGCCTCTTGATAATTTCAAGCAATAAAATGAACCACGACACTCTATCAGCCAACCCTGTTAAAGCATCCACATCAATCTTGACGTAGCCATTATACAACCATCATTGATGGGCAATAAATTAATTCTCCCCATATTAGTTAGATTATCGAATAAAACTGATTCATCTCCCCGCATTAATATTATTCTCCTTCCTCATATTGATTAAAAAATATTATTTCTCTTTCCACAATTTAATTAAAAAATATATTGGTAATTCTATTATTATTCTCCTTGCATTAGTTATGATTCAAAGAATATGATTCTTCTATCCTGCGTCACTGCTTTAATTTTGAATAGCAAAATAAATATTATTCATCTTTCACGCATTATCATGATTTTCCTCTCTCGCACTGATTAAAAAATATCAAAATGATTCTTCTCTCCCCGCATAAGTCAAAAAATAGAATCTTAGATTAGGAATCCTATAATTCAAAAAATAAAAATAAAAAATAATTAAAAATCCAATGATTCTATTCATTAGCATTAATTAAAGAAATTAATAGAAAAAAATATTAGTGATTCTATGATTTTGAGTAGAAATTTACAAAAATATTTTATAGTTTTTTTTTGTGTTTTTTCTTTTTATTTTAGTACAAAATTACTCCTTTTTAAATTTATTTGATTTAAATATTTGATCATTTTGAAAATAGTCTAGTCGTTTGTAGTAGTTTAATGCAGAGATCAAAATATACTTTTTAAAAATTTTATTTTATATCAATATTCAAAAAATAAAATCAAAACTAAATTCATTTAAGTGTGTGATAAAAATATGATTTCTTAGAGGTTATAAGAGTATCTATTTTAAAGGAAGGAAATCTCATTTATTCATTGATAGTTTTATTATAAGTGTTTTGAAAAAAGATAATCATAAAAATATGCACCCGTTTTGTGTTTTTTATTGAAGTATTTCTTTTTCTCCTTTCTCTTGCTTCTCTAGTTGATCTCGTTCATCTCTCGTCATGTTGGACGGAAAGATAAAATTTAAATACTGATTCTATCCTTTTTTAATCACAATATTGATTCTTTTCTAGCACGTACGTATTTAGACTTGAAAATGGGTGGTTGATGACACATTCCTTGAACTGTATTCGAACATTTTTGTGATGAATTTTCAAGGGTATTAATTTTTTTCCATTCAATTTTTTTCTAAAATTGAATAATTTAAGTAAAAAAATTCATTTAAAAGGGAAGTAATATCGTATATTACTAAATTTAACATTTTATGAAATTTATAAGATTTAGCATTCAAAAAAAGAGCTCAAGTAATATTGCAAATTACTATATTTAACGTATTGTTAAAATCATAAGATTTAGGTTACAAAAAAATCATATTCTCCCATTCTTTTTTAATAACTTCAAGGGCGATTATTAAATCTAGAGATTAAAAATTAGAGATTGGTTTTAATATATCAATTAAAAATACAAAAAATAGAAAAATAAAAAACAAAGTTTTGATATTAATTTAATTTCCCATTACAATAAAACCAAAGATTAAAAAATTTTAAGATTTACATTGGTTTATATATTTTTAAATTAATTTATATTATTAGTTTAAGTTAATTATTTATTGGAAAAAGTCTGTAAAAGGCACGTAAGTTCTTAATGTATCCGTGTTAAAAGGTAATACATTAAAAGGAAAAAAATGTTATAATTAGAAAAAATAATGCTTCTTTATTAAATATCACATGCCTTAGCTTATTTATGCATTGATATACACGCTTTTAAATGCACGCACATGTTTAGTAACTTTAATTTGGAAAATAATTTTTTTTAGTGAAATATGAAATTTGAGTAGTACTATATAGTCCGTTTCATTTAGAATAAAGACCAATCGGACATATATATTCTTACAATAACTAAGTTATGTTATACTCCGTATAATAGAGAATAACTATATAACATCCTCAATATAATTATATTTTAAAAAAAGTATCAATTTTAGTCCACTCATGTATTAATTTTTAATTTTTTTTAATCTAGTTATTGAAATGTATTATTTGTTTTTAATTTTACATTATTAATAAAATAAATAGAATCAAAACTAATTTTAAATATTATAAACTAATACTTGTATGAAAATTATTTAAATGTGAAAAAATCATTTTATTTATTAATCAAATTTTTTTTATAAATTAAGTGAGTAAAAAATATTGTATTGTATTGGAAAGAGTATGTTCTTAACAATGAATTTTATGATTTAACAAATCCGAGACAGGTATTAAAAATATCTGTACGTAGAGTCCTTAAAAATGATATTTTATTAAAAGTAATAATTTACACGGAAAATAATTTTAATTCAAATTTTGAATTAATGGGTTCAAAATAAGTAATTACTCCATATCATTTTTGAAAAAAACTAAAATATGTGAAATAATGAAAGAGAGTAAATTTGGTTAAATTGCCACCTAATATGCCACATGTCAAGCTTTTTTAAAAATTTTTTTATATCAATATTCAAAAAATAAAATCAAAACTAAATTCATTTAAGTGTGTAATAAAAATATGATTTCTTAGAGGTTATAAGAGTATCTATTTTAAAGGAAGGAAATCTCATTTATTCATTGATAGTTTTATTATAAATGTTGTGAAAAAATATAAAATTTTAAGAAATGTATTCTAATGAAAGTGATGATTTATTTTTCATAATTAAATTTGCTTAATAATATTGAAATTAGAAAGAACGTTAGTGTAAATATAGTATGTCTTGGTAACACATTTTTTTATCAATTGTTAACTATAATTTAATTAAAAATATCACATCATAATTCATAAGATATGACTAAGAATACTATATTTTTCAATTCATATCATAAATAGTCTAAGGACTATAAACTATAAATTTTATATAACAAAGTCAAATTATAAAATCAATATAATCGAACTATGAAATTACACATAGTATTTCTTCTATTGTAATATAATTATAGTTTAGTCATCTCTTATTCTATATATCTTTTGATGTAAATTTTAGAATATATTGTGTGTTTTAAATTTTACATCTTCATTTCAATGAATCAAATCAAAACTAACTTCGTTTTAACATATCATAAACAAAAACTTGTATCAAATTGATTTAGAGGTTAAAAACCATCTCATCTATATTGGTTGAAAATTTTATTATAAAAGCAGAGAGTAAAAATTTTTAAATTGGGAAATGATATTATCATTAACACGAATGTTTCATTTGCATACTTAAATTTATTGAAAGATTTCATACCAAAATATTGATTTCTCATTTTTATATTTTTAATTAAGTGGCACATTAGACTATATATTAGCTGTCAAAATAAATATTAAATTTATTTATTGGTGACGAAAGCAATTTATTTATTAGGTCTCAATGCAATATTTAAATAAATTTAATCAAAAAACTAATTTCAAGTAAAGGTATAATAAATAGTTATAAAATTTATTTATAAGTGAAGAGAGTATTTTATATTTTATTCTAAAAATTTGTTATAATTAAAGATGAAAAATATAGAATTTAGAAAGAATATTATTATAAAAAGGAATTTTCCCCCCATATTTATATTTAATCAAATATTTCTTACCAAATTTTAAATTTATATTTTCCATATGAAAAATTATGTGACATATTAGGTGTTAGAAATGGCTAAATAAAAATAATTTTCTTTTCTTTTTATTCAGTTCATAAATTAGGTTGCATAAAAAAGCCACATAAGTAATGACACATGTCAGCTCTTAGTAATGCCACATGTCAGCTTCTAGTAATGCCACTTGTCATCTTCTTAAAGTTTGGAGTCTCATTTATATATATAAAGGATATATATATATATATATATATATATATATATATATATATATATATATATATATGTCCAACAAAACAATATTATACAGATTATTCGGCAAGGATGTTTCCGAACAACAAGAGAAAACGAGGGAACCTATCTGCTATTTCCCTTCTCAAACCAAATCAGCCTTCGGGCAGAAGCCGCTGGGCCTAGTCGCCTGCCGCGAGTCCGCATTATAGCCTCCGCCAGCCGCCGTCCACCCCAGCGCCACTCCACGTCTCTGGAATTGAATCGCAATTTGCGACTACCAAGTGCTAGGTTAGTTTTTTCTCTCTAAAACCTATTTATTTATATACAGGTATCATATGATGATTATTGATTTGTGCCGGATGATATGTTCGTGTAGTTTTATATTTGTGATTTCTTAATTTTTATTCACTTAGGGGTAAGGTCTGCCTACACAGTACACACCCCAGACTATTCTTGGAGGATCAAACTTATTTTTTTTCTGAATGATTTGAATTTAAATTTAGGATGCAATGGTATTTTAAAAAGAAACCAAGATTTTATGAGCTTGAATCAAGTGACAATTCACCAAACGTCCAAGCTTGAACAAGAATGTTTCGTCGTCTTTAAATCAACCGTTGAATCAACTAGAGTCTTAGCGTTGGTTGTTTTTTTGAAATTCTTCATTATGGTGCATTTTTTTATATATGTGTTTAGTGTCTATTGGATTCACGTCGCTTTTAAGTTCAAAATTTAAACGTTAAACTACCTTTCTCGTTGAAAATATGTGCACACATTATAAGCCGTATTTATTAATGAGTAAATCTATAAAACATGAACGTATCTGTATATAATTAGTTGTATTTTACAAATCTTATCCGTATTATACATGAACTTATAAATGTACGTATTATATTTGTATCTAAAAAGCTAAAAGAGGTTGAGAGTTGAGACTTCACCTCTAGAGGTCTACCCATGCACACTGTTAGGACGGGCCCCTAGACCCATGCACACTGTTTCTTGGACTGGTTCGATCCTGGCAAGGACTCCGAAAGCTTCATCTATTCATCTTCATAGCTGTTCATTGCTGCATCCCTCCACCGTAGGCATCACCCATCCCACATTATTCCCACTATTCTCATTCCTTCCAAGCGATCATTTGTAGGCATTAGGTATGGAACGGTTTTCGTTTACATTTTTCCAATGTAGGGTAAACAATGTAGTCGCTCTATAATATTTTCTATGTCGGTAAATCAAAATCTCACTCAAAACCTCTCCAATTGCTGAGATAAAGTCATTTAGGAAATCCCTACTTCAAATTTCTATCCAATATTTCTAATCAGTGGTGATAAAGATTTTGATCATTGTTTCTCTCCATTTTAGATATCCACTCTTTATCTTTGTTTATGATTAAATTACTTACTTATCCCTTGCAAACCAAACAATTCAAGGTTTTTCTGGTTCATTTTCTCTCCCCTCCATTTACTTTCCCCTCCATTTACTGTGCTTGAGTATGTATGGTGCAGTCTGAGCATTGAAGAATGGCAGGTAGGCGGGTGGTTAAGTCAGCTAGGTACAAGTTAGCAGTCAAGGACCAAGGTGTCGATGGCATTTTGGAAATGGTACTTTCCTCCTATCCCTACGATCCTCGAAATTTCCCAATGGGGGGGGGGGGGGGGAGGAAGTAATAATGATGATTATTTCTTGTCTACTGAATTTTTTAACCTTAAGAGTAAATCTAGATTTTGGAAAAACATGAAGCAGTTTGGTGTTTATTATTGAGAAGTTATTTTTGCAATGGTACAATTTTCTCAAATCTCAAATGTAATTGATCAACGATCTTTTTGTGATGTACAGACCATGGAAAGGTTCATATTTAAGCCTAATGACCCAATGTCATCAGCAAAGCTCAATGTGGAGTTTAGGTTGATTACAGGTGCTTTTTCATTGATTCACTTCTATGATTTGAGTCAGTGCGATTGCAATCGGTTTTAGTCGCTTGATTACGTAGTAAGCAGATTCTTGTTTTTTTGGTTTTGTGTATCAATTATTATTAATTCACCCCATGTCCCCTTTTCTTTACGTGATAATTACTTCAATTGTTTCTGCTTTTGTTGATCATATTACGATCCTTTCAAAGAGAAAATAGGTCGATATCCAACCATTTTGTTTATTTATTCGCGTTTCTGATTTGCCACAATTTTCTTAATGTGCTTCTTTCCTCAATCGAAATTTAGGCCACAGGTTTACTAAAGAGGGTACCACTATTAACCCGCCCTTGCTTAATCTTTTCCGGAATCAGGTTAGTGATGTCTAATGTGGCTTGGACAACTGGTCTGTAACACATTTTCATTTGGATGTGTAATGATTATACATGTGTGTGTATATGTGTATGTGTGTGTGTTTGTATCTTATTCTGTAGAATTTTGAATTGTTGAAAGGGTAAAAACTATATGTTTGAGTTCGACGAATTCTCAGACCGTGATGCTTGCAGAGATTTTGCAGGTAAGTTATCTTGGTTATATTTGTTTTGTTGGCATTCACAATATTACTCCTTGCTTGTTTGTTATGAACAGCTTCAGCCATCGCATCTTGTGGAGATTCTGGGATAACCACCCCTACACCTGCAGTGGAAAGTTCTGCAGCTCCAAATAATGAGCAACTCAGTGAATCTGAAATGGAACGTCGAGTTAAACTTCTGGAAGATAGGTAATCCTGTTTTTCTGTTGGTGATGCAACCATTTAGACTTTTTAACTGGCTTTATAAACTGCAAGTCATTAGTGTTAATAATAGTGAGCTTGAAAGAAACATGTCAAAGGAACTCGGCAAAACGACCATGTAACTTTGGGAGAACGGGTGTGCTCTTATTGTTTGATTAGGAACGCCGCACATACCAAGGGGGCAATGAGTAGAGACTGCTTATTAAAACACCGGACTCTGCTAAGTGGTAGCATGATGTATAGAGTATGTCACCTGCCGGTGCTGGAAAGTCAAAAATAAATGCTACTCCCTCCGTCCCACTATATTTGTCCACTTTCATTTTTGCACACCATCCAATGCACTTCTTTAATCCATTTTATCTTGTAATTTGTATATTAAAAAATTATAGAAATTATATATTAATAATCTATATATTAAGACAAATCAAACAAGATCACACATGACTATATTTAGGCTTACACATTGAGAGAATTTGATGAGTCAAAGTGCTTAAATGAACAGTTCCAAAAGTCAAAACTGGACGAATATAGCGGGGCGGAGGTAGTACTTTGTATAATCTTTGAATGGAAATCCTAGCAAATGGCGGCAGCAGGTCCAAGATTTGTTGCCAACCTCTTGCTTGTTTATGGTTCATATAACCAAGGTTGTTAAGGCGCCAAGGCGAGGCACCGATGTACCTTCATATCGCTTAGGCAACATATATACATACATACATACATACATACATACATATATATATCTATGTGTGTGTGTATATATATATATGATTATACAGAACTAAATATGTAATTAAAGTCTACACACAATCTGAGACAAACAATTAAATGTTCACAAGCATTTAAAAGACCTCAAATAACAACATAATTCAAATAAAAGTTCATCTCCATTCTACTAGCTTACTCACCCAAACATGTAAGTTTAAAAATTATCCTGAAACATGTCATTCATATGGATATCAATAATATCTATACCCATAGCCTCATCATGGACACTAGATAAGTCAACACCATTGTCATCTTCAAGATACTCATCATCATTTAGACCCAAGAGATAAGACAACGTAAAGTCAAAACATTTTAATATTTGGCTTTCAAAATATATAAAATGCATAGGCCTGATGCGAGGGTAAGGCGACGCCGAGGCAATCGCCTTAATGCCTCAAGGGTTTCTGGGCGAGGCGAATAAATAAGGTGTCCATGGCATAGTGCCATATTGCCTAGGCGGCACCTTAACAACTATGCATATAACTAATAAATTCTAAGTAAAATGAATTGAAATAAAATGAAATGGAGCAAGGGAAATCCTGACAAATGGCGTAATTTTTATTTTGGGACATCCCCAGAACAAAAGTGTGAACTTCATTTTGGGATGGAGGGAGAAATTTAACAATGTATTTGTGGGGTATATTAATGGTTAAAGTTTGACACAATTTTCATAAGGCTATTCTTTTTATGGGGATGAAACAACAAGATATCTAGTGTATTCGTACAAGTGGGGTCGAGGAAGGGTAAGATGTATACATAACTTACCTCTGCACGTAAAGGATGGTGAATTGTTTGAGAGACCTTCAGTTTAAAAGGAATAAACTCAGAGTGAGTTGGCAAAATATTAGCTAATAAAACACGCAAGCAGCATAACAAGGTGCAAGCAGCAAAGGTACGTGGCATGACCAAGCTATGAAAGAGAACAAGTCTATGCAAACCCTAAGATCACTAAACACTAGAAAATTAGATGGAAGGGCTAGCCCCAACCTCTTAGACTAGAGATACAAAGGGTAAGCAATCTATTACACTTGTTTCCTAATTCTAGATTGCTAATACTTTCTATCTAAGGTCATCTCCTCCGTTAGCTTGAGTTTATGACTGCGACCTATTTAATAACCTCCCTAAGTTCTTTTTCGGCCTACCTCTACCTCTTCTAACTCCTACATTGCTAAACTCTCACACCTCCTAAGTGGTTAGTTCTCACTCATCTTCTTCACATGGTCGAGCCATCGTAATCTCGCCTCATTTTACCCACCATGGTGCGAATGGATCTGTACTAATGTTAGTTTATGTTGTGTGTGTGTGTGCACTAAAATACTCCCTCCGTCCCTCATAGATCTTCTCAATAGCCCTTTTTCTTTGTCCACAATAGATCTTCTCATTTCATTTTTTAACAATTAAAATACCACAACTACCCCCACTTACTTTATTTATTACACCTCACCCACCTCATTTAATACACTCCACCCATTTTTCATTAAGGGTATTATGGTAAACTTCCACCTTTTTTTAACTCTCCTTAAAAACCACCAAAAGTCAAAATGAGAACATCTTAGGGGGACGGAGGGAGTATTAAAATGTGTTACTTCCTCCATCTCAAAAAATATTCAAAGTTGTTGACTAAATCCCCCCCCAAAAGTCTTATTTGAGAAAAGTACGCTAATTCTCATTCTATTGAATAACTTTTAATAAAAAAATGTTCACAAATAAGTTAAATACTCCCTCCGTCCAACAATAAACTTCCCAGTTACTATTACGGCATCTCGATAATTTGTGTTTGTTTGCATATTTTCATCAATCATTTAGTAAGATAAAATATTGTCGTCACATCTTATTTTGTAGAATTTTTTATGTAGCTTTGAACAATGTAATTTTTACTTTTTTATGAGATACCGATTTGTAAATAAAGTAATTTTTAAAAAGATGGGATTTTACACGTCCAAAATAGGAAGCTTATTGTTGGACGGAGGGAGTATGTAAAGTTTAGGTAAACCAATGAAAAAATTAATAATATAGCTAGAACCAATCACTCCTTTCAAGATGTACTCCATGCTAAACACGAATTATATGAGACTGGATTGACCAAATCACTCGTTTCAAAATAATGTATTGACTATTGACTGGCATTATCATTATCAAGTGATAAATTGGCTCTATTTCCACAATTGGTTCTACCTTTATGAGTTTCTTGAAATCAAATTCTGGATTTTGTTTTAGAAAGCATCCGGTAGACAATTATTTTGTACTAAGCAGCCTGAACCTTAGCAGTTTTCTACAATTAATGTACTGCAATAAGTTTATCATAGTGATGGAGGCACTATATGAAGGCAATTGTTTTTCTAGAAATAAATTTTGAAAAAAGAGTCATTTTTCAAAAATCATCTCTTTTGTGCTGCTTTCCTTATAGTAGATAACAGTTTTTTTTGCTCATTTTTTATAAAACAATAATTAATTTTTTTTTAGAAAAAATTGTTACTGATGATAAAAATAAGTAAATAATAAGAAAATAACTAAATATCAGATAAATACATGGATAAAGTAACAATAAATAATTAACTTAAAACAAGACATTTAGACCATACAAGTGCGAAGCGTAGTAAAAAAAATATAACCAAGTTGCCAACCAAATAAAAACAAACCATTTCAAGCTATGTTATATTCCTATACCTAGGGGCCGAATTCAACTTGATGTCAATGATTTCAATCGAAAGCGGTTGTACAGAAACTACTTTACGTATTTACTTGATATCCTTTTTTTATTATATGAGAAGTATGTTACTTTCTACTGATTGTTCAAATGTTCAATGTCCTGTTTATGGAAGGGTTTGACTCTCAGTCTGAATTCCATGATTAGTCTTGATCTTTCTTGAATGGCAGTGAATTGAGGAGACTTCACAAGGAGTTAGTTATTGGGGGCACTTTGTCAGATGGTGAATTTTGGGCGGCAAGGAAGGTCAGAAACTGGATGAGAATATTCTTTTCTCACGATATGTAGTATGACTCTGTAATATTATGTCTATTAGAGCATTGAGCCATCAATTTATTCTAATAAAATGTTAATCTTGAGTGCAGAAATTACTAGATCAGAGCAATGCTAAGAGGTCAAATCAACAAGTAGCTTTGAAAAATCACATTTGGCATAAAAAACTTACTACTGATTGTCAGGTACAACTGCATCCCCACTCTTTCTTCCCAACATCCGAAGAAAGAGTGGGGGATCATACTCTGGGAGTCTGGGTGTCTACTCTTTTTAACGTACTCTGTTCTTTCTTTCAGCGGGTTGATTTCTTCTATTCTGTTTTCCATACATATAAGCTTATAATTAATCAAATCTATTAAACATTGCCGCATTTTACTCTGTTTTAGCTCTTTCTTTCTTATACTATATTACTATTAATGCGAAAAGATATTTTATTATATTTGGCTAAGATCTTGTTATCTTTACTCTTTATGTCTACACTATCATATTCTTGTGCATAGCTTGACACTAATTTTTTTTCTTTCAATCCAGCCTAATAAGATTACTTTTAACTTGACACCGGAGATCATTCTTCAGGTATACATGTTTCCTTTTTACTTTTCGAACTTGACACCGCAGCCGTAGCTGTCTCTTTTATTTTTCAGTGTATGACACTTTAATATTACGAAAACAGTAAACCAAAACTTATATACTACTCCGTATGTTTTTTGTGTAATACAATAAATTGTCTCACAAGAATGTGGTATAGTATTTATTCTAGGATTTTTTTATTTTCTTTTTAATATGTGTGAATGAATAAGTTTGCTATAGTTTTAATTTCCATGTTGTCTTCTAGTTGTTTGCTTGAATTATGTATATAGTTTTGCCAATATGCTCTCAAATATCTCATTCATTGCAAAAGAACCTTACTAGAGTTAATGCTATGTCACACTGACTTTTTGAATGTAAATCCTCTTCAGATTTTCACTGAGAAACCAGCTGTTCGTCAGGCATATCTTAAATTTGTACCAAAGAAGGTAGGAAAGTTATAAGTAGTCCCTCAGCCCGCAATGAATTTATTGAAACTATGTATCTTTTTTAAACAAATTCTAACTATCCACTTTTCACCTTTCACCATTTTCTTAAACCTCGTGAATTCATAGTGCAAACTCTTTTATGGAACAGGGGAAGTATGTTGCTGCACTAGTGCTGTGATGTCACTATTAAGACAAAATATTGTTTGATCTTTTTCCTTATCTTTACCATGCATTCTAGATGACAGACAAGGAATTTTGGACCAAATATTCAAGAGCTGAATATCTCCAAGGCATGAAAAATGCTTTTGCAGCTGCAGCCGCCATGGCAGCTGAAGATGAAGAGCTTGCTGTATTTTTGAAAAAAGATGAAATTTTGGCAAATGAAGCTAGGAAGAAGGTGCTTCACTGATGATATGAATTTTCATGTTTTTTGAGTGAATCTCTTTTCCTTGGACACCTCCTTGAGCTTCTAATGGGCGTTACAAAATTTGACTCTGCATGAAGAATAACAAAATAAAAGATATTTGTTTAGAAGAGAGAAACATAATTAATCATGTCTTTGCTTAAAAGAAAATTGGCCAAGTTTTTGGGGACGGACTAAAAGGAAAGCTTGCAAGTATTTTGAGGTGGACTAAAATGCAAAGTTGGCAAAGTTATTTGGGACAAAGGGAGTAGTGAAATACTTTGTATTTAATTTGTGCTACAATGTACCAATATGATGCTCATTCAAACACCATTTTTGTGTTTTGAAAATTCATCAATATGTCCACAATCATATTCTTTCAGATTAAACGAGTGGATCCAACACTGGACATGGAAGCAGATGAAGGCGATGATTACATACATCTACCAGTATGCCAGTGAAACTTTGCTCTATATTTTAATTGCATACAACTTTCAATAAATGGCCCTATTCTTACACTAGTTGATCTTCCAATTCAATTCTATCCATTTCTTTTGAGTATGCCTTGTATTTTCAATAAATGCCACAGAACGTATATATTTATTATTTTATTTTAGTGGAGCATGAGCGTGCTCCAGGTGACTATTATATTTTCTGTTTTCACTTCTTCACTCACTTCAAGATAAGCTATTTCTGATTATAGGATCATGGGCTGCCACGTAATGATACTAAAGAGACTGATGACTTACAAACTGATCCATACAGAAGGTCTTTTGGACAAGAGCTCAATCGGCATGCAGCCGTGGTGCTTCAAGGCAGAACCATAAGTTAGTCTTTTTAACCTATTTTAAATATTGCAGTCTACGATATTTGGTTTGGAAATGATATCAAGCTAATGGAGAAACATTTTTTATTTGAACAAATGGTGGCATTTATACACTTAATGAGTTTTAAAGAGCACTGGTACATAGCTCCTATTGACAGTATGTCAGGGGTTGAGATCGAACCTCTGTTACTAATGTAGGAACAAACGTAAAAGAGGAAGATATTGATCCTTCACTGCCCTTTGCCGGAAGACGAGAAAGTAGTCTGTGATTAGCTTCTGATTATTAGAGTTTTGACTTAAAAACACTGATTCTTTTATTAGTGATTGTGGGAGTATAAATAGGCAAAGCCTTACAAGAGACCTACCGTTGTCATACTATGAAATATGAATCCTCATTTAGAAATACTACCTCTGTCCTAGTGTATTCATCCAGTTTGACTTCCCAGAGGTAATGATACCCC